TTTGCAGGTAAAGCCCCTGAAAGGTGGTTAGACTGGTAAGAGGAGACTCAGTTAGGGTCATCCCAGTAATGAGGTCAGGAATACATTGTGTGTGGGGGGGTGGGGGGGTAGTGGACACCTTAGATAATGCTCGTCAGCAGTTGCTAAGCTCTTAGGCTGTGCTGAGTCCTTTGCCAACCATTTTACTTGTGTCACCTCAGCTAATGTCAAGAGCTCCACTTGTCTTGGAAAGCACATACCACGTGCTAGACCCTGGTCTTTAAATTGGTGATCTTGTAGAATCCTCATGACAGTCCCATGTTGCTAGTTCTGTATTCATCACCACCCTCAATGTGCTGGTGAGGACACTGAAGCATAGTTGTTTTGCCAGTTTTCAGCTGGTCTGGCAACATCATTGATCCTTTTGTTGTATGATTCTCCTCTTCTTTTAGGTATAATTTACATAAGGTTATGTGTACAGATCTTGAGTCTACAAATGTTTATGTTTGGATATACCTGTGAGCCATCAGTGAGATCGGGAACTAGACCTTTTCCAGTGTCCCAGGAAGTTCCCCTGCTCCTCTCCCCCGTCCCTTCCCCCACAAAGGGCAACCACTGCTCTGATTTCTCCCCCTAGATTAGCATCTGTTCTTGATTACATGTTTACGTCTGGCTCCTTTCCTTCAATATATCAGTAAACTTTAATCCATGTGTCATGGATTAGCAGTGCCTTATACTCTCTGTTTAATGGCCAGGCAGCATTCCATTGCGTGGACACATCACAATTTGATTGTCCCTCCTCTGGCTGATGGATATTTGGAATGTTTCCATACTTTTCTATTATGAACTGACACTGTGGACATTCGCATATATGTCTTCTGGTGAATGCATTCCATGTCTCTTGGGTCTTTACGTAGGGGTGAGATGCTGAATGATACAGTATGTAGCCTGGGTCCCTAACCCCTCCACCATCCTGCCCCTCACACAGCCCAGCAGCCCACCCAGGCAGTGAAATTTTATCCCATTTTACAGGGGTGGGGGGATTGAGGCTAAGAACAGCTTGTAGGTGATTTGGCTAGTAAGGGGTTGAGCTGGGACCCAGACCCTGGGGTTGGAGGTTTGGCCCAGAACTAGATGGCTGAGCCACTGCTTGGAACTTGGTCCTTCCCTGAGGGCTCAAATCCTATTGGAAAGCCTTTTGTGACCCTAGTATTCTTTGAGGACACAAGGAACCGGAAGGTCCTTTTTCTGTATTTATTGGACTGGAGGTTTTGACAGCAGAGGGATGAAAAGTGAGGGTAGGAGAGAAGAAGAGGTAATGAAAGAAAAACCAAATTTCACTCCGGAGTGACGACTGGCTTCACTTTCAGGTACTACTGTGTGACCTTAGAGTCAGTTACAGATGGCTTGGGAAGTCCCATGCCCCTGTCTCCGGACCTGGAAGCAGGACCACATCTGTGGTTGATACTATCTGCCAAGTTCATGGTTTCCTCCTCTTTCTGTAGTTTTAGTGTTTCTCTGGAAGCAGGACAGCTAGAGGGGGTAGATTCCATCCCCTCACTCTGGCCAAACACAGGACCATGTTTTCCTCTGACTCTGGACCATAGTTTTGAATTTTCAGGCTGACAGCCTGAAATATCATGAAATAGGCAATCCCGCAAAAATGCAATGGCCAGTGGGCTCCCAGAGCCCCAGAAGCCCTGGCTGGCTGATGCGCCTGCCCCTGATACTCCTGAATCTTACTGTCAGGTGGCTTCCAGCTTTCATACCACTCAGCTTTTGTGTCTCAGTCACTCCTGTGATTACTGGACTGATCTCTCATGGAGGCTCTAAATTCCTATTTCCACCAGCAAGGCATCCTTTCCCCTGCATTCCTGTCAGGTGTAGGTGTTGTCATTAAAATGATATCTCATTCTTCTCTGATTATGCCTGTCCCTGACTGTGAAGTGTCATGTCTTGGCACATCTTTATTAGTGGATTGTTCTACTGTAGAGGTTCTCAAGTGGAAGCAATTTTTCTCCTCTCCCTTGGGGACACGAGGCAATGTCTGCAGACATTTTTTTAAAAAGATTTTATTTATTTATTCATGACAGAGAGAGAGAGACAGAGAGACAGAGACACAGGCAGAGGGAGAAGCAGGCTCCATGCAGGGAGCCTGATGTGGGACTCAATCCCGAGTCTCCAGGATCACACCCCATGCCGAAGGCGGTGCTAAACTGCTGAACCACCAGGGCTGCTCAGTGTCTGCAGACGTTTTTGGTTGTCACATCTCAGTGTGTGTGTGTGTGTGTGTGTGTGTGTGTGTGTGTGTGTGTGTGTGTTTGTTTGCTGCTGACATCTAGTGGGCAGGGGCCAGGGATCTTGCTGAACATTCCACAAAGCTCAGGATAGCCCCCACAGCAAGGAATTATCAGGTGCAAAGTGTCAGAAGTGCGGAGGCTGATTGCTCCACCTGAATTGCTGGTAAGATGTTTTGTCTTAAAAAAAATCAATTTAAAGGTGCTCTTCACTTATGATAGACATTCATCCTTTATTTGTCATCTACGTTGCAAATTATTTTCCTTTATTCTGCTCTCTTTTAGTTTCATTTATGGTTTACACACACACATACAAAACTTAATGTAGTCAAGTGCATCCTCCACATATGTTATAGCCTCTGAGTTTACTGTCATGGTTGAGGTTTGAGGTTCCCCCCATCCTTGTTTAATGCATGTGGGTTTCCTATTCCCGCTTTTTAAATATTTTATTTTTAAGTAATCTCTATGCTCAGCATGGGGCTCGGACTCACAACCCTGAGATAAAAAGTTACATGCTCCTCCAAGTAAGCCATCAAGTACTCCCCCTATTTCCACTTCTTCTTTCTTTTTTTAAGATTTCATTTATTTGTTTGACAGAGAGAGGGTGGACGAGTATAAGCAGAGGAGAGTGGCAGGCAGAGGGGGAGGGAGAAGCGGTCTCCTCACTGAGCAGGGAGCCCGACTTGGGGCTCGATCCCAGGACGCTGAGATTATGACCTGAGCTGAAGGCAGATGCTTAACTGATTGAGTCACCCAGGTGCCTCCACTTCTATTGAGTTTCTATTATTCTATATATTAAGGCTTAATCCCATTTGGAACTGATTTTTGTAAATGGTGACAGGTAAAGGTCCAGTTATATTTTTTTCCAGGTGGACAACCAATGTGGTTTTTACCATAGCTTAAATTCACTATCCTTTCCCACTGAATTAAAACCCCACTTCACACTTTTGGGCTCCTTCTCTTCCAATGATACCTGTGAGTCTCAGGCAATAGCGTCAGATCTTGATTACGTGGCTTTGTGGTATGTAGTACCATGAAGGCCAGTTGCCACGTCTGTTCTTTTTTTTCCCCTTAAATAATTTTTCGGTCAGTTTCAGAAATTTCTTCTTTATTATTCATTCTTCAGTCCCAAACTAAAGTAAGGAGCCTCTCCTTCCTCCCATGCCGGGCTGTGTTGCCCTGCTTTCTGTGTTTGTAGCTCAGGGCTCTTTCCCTCTGCATGGCTGAGCAGGATTTCATTAGGTAGTCATTGGTTACCTCCCTCCTGCCAGCCTCACTTTGCCTGGGATATTGGCTGAATTGATGAATAAGTGGATAGTGCACCTTTTCTTTTTTCTTTCTTTCTTTCTTTCTTTCTTTCTTTCTTTCTTTCTTTCTTTCTTTCTTTCTTTCTTTTCTTTCGTAAACTTGAAAATGAGTTTTATCTCTTGTGCTGATTTGGGACCAAAGTAGTCACAGGTTGGCTCCATCTTTGTCACTGCCAAGATATGGCCATGGACAGGTATCTCCCCTGCCTCAGCTTTCTACCTGTCATACCAGCCCTGATGAACCCTGAGCTCCTTCCACTGTTATGTGGCCAGGATCCCGGCAGGGTTGAAATGCTCTTGAGAGGAGAAGCACCACACAAAGCAAAGCCCCAGGTTGTCAACACAGTGGGCACAGTGCTGGGGGCCCCAATATTTTTAGGGGCCAATGGAAATGTTCTGATTTACTTTAAAATTAGGAGAAAAAAACTTTTAGGCAGAAGAAAATGTTTTAATACATAACAATATACTCGTCTTTATACCAGTGTAGTCATAAAATAAAATTAAAAATATTTTTTAGGGAAGGAAAGGGCCTATGAGCAAGAGTACCAAGGACCGTGAAAGTTGTCACATGGCCCTCTTAAATGCAACCCAGATGAGTGAGGCAAATAATTGGCATTAGAAGCAGGCAGTGTAGACATGTAGAGAGAAGGAATAAAAGAAAGCAACTCATTGTCTCGGTATTACCAGAGGCAAGAACACACAAGCTGAAAATGGGTGCAGGAGACTTCCTGGTCCCTTGGGCTGCTCTCTGAGCAAACCCAGACCTGAGCTGGTACAAGAGAGCGGAAGAGTGGGGCAGCCAGACAGACCTGGATTCTGGGCCTGGCTGTACCTCGTGTTACCTGTGTAACCCGGGGCTAGTCATTTAGCCTCTGGGAGCCTCAGCTTCCTTATTGGGGAAACAGTCACAGTAACACCCTTTCTTCACGTCTAATCATACATGCCATCACTCAACACATGTCTGTGGAGCGCCTCCTGTGGTCCGGTCGCTGTCCTGGGTGCTGAATACATAGAACAAGGTGCCCTAGCACATCCAGCCTGGTGCCTGGCATTATAATAGTTCCTCAGTAAATATTTGTTGACTTAATAGTTGGAAAACAGGCCAGGGGGAGGGGGTACCCAAAGTAAAATAAGTGAACACATACAAAATGCATAGATAATGATTAACTTAAACATATGACCATATCAAGTGCAATGACGAGGAAAGTAAGGTACCAGGAAGTAAAAGAACAGGACCTGGTAACAAAGGAGGAGACAGGACAGCAGAGCATCTGCTCAGATGTAGCGTTCTGAGTGGGCTTCTTGGAGGAGGTGACATTCCAGAGAGGGCCTGAAATGGAAGGATGAGTGATTGTTGAGGGGAGAGCTCCTGTCCCCACCCTGTGCTCTCTCTCAGTCCCTGTCCCTCTGGTTGCAGGCATCCAGCCGGCACTCTGGAGCAGGGAGGATGTACTGCACTGGCTGCGTTGGGCAGAGCAGGAGTACTCTCTGGAGCGCACTGGGGAGCATGGATTTGAGATGAATGGCCGAGCCCTCTGCATCCTCACCAAGGATGACTTCCGGCTTCGTGCACCTGGTTCAGGTCAGAGAAACTCACTGGATTCCCTCTAAAACATTCTGATGAAAACCCAGGTGGGCCCAGGGAGGAAGCTGGAGGGAGATGGACGTGTTGGTTGGAGGAGCATTCTCAGCTTCCAGCATGGCAGACATCCCCTTTTCCATAAATGTTTGCCTAGTGGTTCCTCACAAAAGCAGGCTGCAGCAAAGGAATCTGGGTGTTGTTTGCAGAGCCCCAGAGCTCTGTCCTACTGTCACTTCCCCTCACCTTCCCCACAGCTCTTGTCTCCCCTACCCCTTTCCACTCTGCTGCCTCTCATCTCATCAGCATGAAGCTTGTAACTGATCCCAGACCTCACCCAAGAGGCAGGTGACCGACCTGCTTCTTGCCTTCACCCCTAGGGGACGTCCTGTATGAGCTGCTCCAGTACATCAAGACCCAGAGGCAAGCCCTGGTGTGTGGGCCCTTTTCTGGAGGGGCCTTGAGGCCGAAGATGCCCACTCAGCACTACCCTTGCCTCCTGAAAGGTGAGGAGGCTCCTCTCAGAGCTCTGGGACCCTACCCCAAGTTGGCTTCATTGGAAGAACAGGGATTCCTCCAGGCAAAGGAAGAGGCAGCTGTGTGGGCTGGGCTCCCAGCTCCCCTCTGCCCTGCCTCCTAAGCCATCACCCCTGGCCCCTGTAGGTCTCCTGAGACCACCCATCTCCCCATTTCTCTGCACTCCTCTCTAGCAAAACATTGTTGTCTGGTGTCCCTATTCCCTCTCCTCCTGATCTCTTTGTGGAAACTCTTTTCTAGAAACCTGAATGTGGGGTTGTCCCTGTCCACTGTCAATACTTATTCACTGTCACCTCTCATGGCCTTCAATGGTCATCCCCCCTCCCCTCAAACCCTTCCCTTGACTTCCAGAACACCCCATGGTCACTCCTCAGTTTCCTGGCTTTTCTTTTTCTCTCATTCTTCTAAATGTTGGAGTATCCCATGGCTCAAGAGGCCTCTTCTCTATCTGCACTCAGACCTAGAGTGTTAAATACCATCTAGTACCGATGACCCCTACATATGCCCAGACCTCTGCAAATTCTAGACTTTCACACCCCACATTGCCTACCCTATACCTTCCCTGGGATGTCTAATGGGCATTTCAACCCTAAGAGCTCCTAAAGCAAACACCTGTCCCACCTCTCTCCCCACAACTCTACTCCTCTTCTGGGATTCCTCATCTCAGCAGACTGCAACATCATCTTCCTGATTGCTCTGGCCAAAATGTTGGATGTCACCTCTGCTTGCTTTCTTTTTTTTCCCACTTAAATCCCAACCATCAACATGACCAGTGGACTCTACCCTCATAATCTATCCAGAACTCAATCACTTCACACACCTCTATTGCTGCCCATGGCCCAGCCCTCATCACTTCTAGAGAATCTCCTCACTGATGTCCTTGTTTTCACTCTTGATCTCCTATGATCTATTCACAATAGAGTAGCCAGAGAGATTCATAAATCAGATCATGTCAATTCTCTGCTCAAAATCTTCCAATGGCTCCCATCAAACTCAGAGTCAAAGCCACAGTCCTTATTTTTTTAAAAGATTTTATTTATTTATTCATGAGAGACACAGAGAGGGAGAGAGAGGCAGAGACGCAGGCAGAGAGAGAAGCAGGCTCCATGCAGGGAGCCCGACGTGGGACTCGATCCCGGGTCTCCAGGATCACACCCTGGGCTGAAGGTGGCGCTAAACCGCTGAGCCACCCGGACTGCCCAGCCACAGTCCTTATAATGACTCCTGCCTTCTGCTGTCCTCTCCCACTCCTCTCCCCCTTGCTCATGCTGCTCTAGCTACAACAGCCTCCATGGTCATTGAATAAGCCAGACACATTCCTGCCTCAGGGCCTTTGCTCTTGCTGCTCCCTCTGCCTGGCATTCCCTCTTCTAGATTCTCACATAGCTCACTCCTCTCTTTCCTTTAGATGTCTACTAGATGTTAACACTTCAGTGAGACCTCCCCTTACCATCATGTACCTGTCTTTCCCAGGATTCCCTATCTGCCTTACAGTGCTTTATTCTCACCCCCCTCATATTGTATACTATTTCCTTTTTTATTTTGCACATTCTCTCCATTTGCAACCCCCTTCCCCCCCCACTATAATATAAGCTCCATGAGGGAAGGGGCCTTTTTTGGGTTCAGTGATATGTCCCCCACATGCTTTAGAACAATGCCTGGCTCACAGAAAGTTCTTAATAAATATTTGTTGGGTGGATGGAGAGGATACAGGACTAAGATACAAGGCACCTGGATTCTGGACCTAGTTCTGTCACCCCTTGGCTTTGCAAGGGGTGGGTTTGAGAGATTAAGTTACTTGTCTCGGAGCTGAGGTTGGCCCCTGTGCTGTCTGGCCCTCACCTGTGCCAGAGCTCGGGGACCCTATGTCTCCTTGACCTTCCACCTGGGGACCAGATGGAAGAAGAGCATTGGGAGTGCTGCCTCACAGGGCTCCCAGGCATGGCATTGAGGGGTCTGAGCTGGTGGAGGCTCAGGATTCTCCCCACAAAATCAAATTTGTGCTTATCTGCTTGCAGAGGGGACCGGGCCCCCTCAGTTGGCCCCCCAAAGGGATCTCCTGCAGCAGCCATCACACCTGGGGCCTGCCAGCTTCTTGAGCCCCCTGGCTAAGTGGCCCCTTGGCAGGGAGGAGTCCCTCGATGTATTTCACTGTGCGGAGCTGGGCTTCAAGGCTGAGGGAGACTGCTCCTCCCCCACGATGCCACAGGCCCCCATTGATGGCAGGATCTCTGGTGAGTAGGAGGCTATGTGCCCCTGGGAGGTAAGCTGAGGCCAAGTCTAGAGGGTGGGGGGTGGCAGGGCAGAGGTTTGTTTTGAGCTGAGGAATGGAGTCTGTGCTGAGCTTTTAGAAGAGTTTAGGGTGACTGTCCCATGTGCTTGCCATCATCTGGCCACAATAGGGCAGGGACAGTTAAACTAGTCACAGTCAGATAGTGAGATTGGCATGGAGTATTCTTCCCTTTAAATTTTTATTTATTTATTTTTCAACAATTGGGTGCTTACTGTGTATCAGGCATGGTTCTGAGAACTTTACTTAATCCCACACCAGCTTTTTGAGGTTAGTATTAGCTCAATTTTATAGGAAGGAAAATGAGGCACAGAGAACTTAAGTGACTCCCCCAGGATCAATCACACAGCAGTAAGTGCCAGAGCTGGGGCATGAACCCAGGCAGTCTGGCTCCAGAGCCTGAGCTCTAAGCAGGCAACACACTTCCACTCTACATTCATTGTTAAAGTGTTGACTAACAGGCCACCAGAAAAACTGACAGATAAACTGCCTTTCTTTCTCTCTCTCTCTCTCTTTCTTTTTTTTTTTACAAGATTTTATTTTTTTATTCTTGAGAGACACAGAGAGAGAGAGGCAGAGACACAGGCAGAGGGAGAAGCAGGCTCCATGCAGGGAGCCTGATGTAGGACTTGATCCCCGGACCCCAGGATCATGATCTGAGTCAAAGGCAGACGCTCAACTGCTGAGCCACCCAGGTACCCCCTGCCTGCCTTTCCAAAGCATAATTTTGAGCCATGCTAGGGCAATAACATTTGTCCTAAGACACCACTAAGCCTGGCTTCTGGGTTGGAAATGCCTGGGAATCACTGAAGCACAAGCATTTGATCTTTTTAATAATACTGCTTAATATTCTCTGAGCACTTACTCTGTACCAGGCACAGTGCTAAGGGCTTTTGGGTTTATTATGTTACTCAAGCCTCATATCATCCCCTACAAAGATACTGTGGCTCAGAAGAGGTTAGGTAATCTGCCTGAAATGACCCAGCCAGGTGGCCCAGGTAGGAGGCCTTAAGCTCTTGCTCCCAGGCTCCCTTGGCCACTTGCCCTCCGTGATGATTTGATTTTCTCAAGCTTCTCACTAAAGGACTTGACAGGATGGATTTAACAATCCTGATTTAATAGAGAATAGGACAAAGGGCAGAGAGGGATCTGGAAGCAGGTGCAGGCCACTGGCTGCCATCCAGCATCCCCACTGCCTGCCCTTGCTACCTGCCCCCCAAGTGAAGGGTGTTGGCTCTCATGTTTGCAGAGCTGAGTTAGTCTTTTCAGTCTGTGTGTCACTCAGGAGATTGGTGACTGGGATATGTCCATACCTCTCTGGGCTCGTTTTGTCATATCTCGCTGTGGATAAAGATTTATTTATTTATTTAAGGGGGGGCACTTCCTAGAGTTAGGGTGAATAAATGAGACAATGAGCCCCCGGAAATGGCTGTGCTCCATCGTAGACTGCCGGCTGCTGTGGGATTATGTGTACCAGCTGCTCTGTGACACCAGGTATGAGCCCTACATCAGATGGGAAGATAAGAACGCCAAGATCTTCAGAGTTGTGGATCCAAATGGGCTTGCCAGACTCTGGGGAAACCATAAGGTAAACCTCAGCTAGCATGTGGGCTGGCCTCCACATGTCCAGAAGAAGACAGAGCAGGAGTTCAGAGTGGACCCCTCAGCACTAGGGGACGGTTCTCAACTGACAGATGTGGGGGTGAGGGGCTTCACCAGCAGCTCCAGAAGTATTGGGATCATTTTATTCTGGGAGATCCTAAGGGACAAGAAGTTACTTCTTGAGGATGGGGACTGTCCCCGAAACTCAGGAATCTTGCCCTTCTACTCACTTAAACCCACCTTTGCTTAGTTCTTGAGACTCTCAAAGCATTTTTACATGAATTACACTGCATATGCTGTGGGGTAATTAGGCCAGGTGAGGAAACCGGTTTCCCGGGATGGGGTGGGGGAGCTGGAGTAGAGATTCAGGTCTCAGGCCGTGTGGGAGCATTGGGTATCAGGGCTGGGAAAGCCTGTTAACCACTGAGGTCTGCATTCCCAATGTGAGGAATGCCCATAACCTAAAAGGACATCTGCCAAAAGATTTTAGGTGGTTTACTCCAAATTCTACTACTTATTTATTTTAGTAAGAATTGGGATTAAAAGTTTTTAACTACGACGTCAATCTCTTGATTTACAGTGATGATGTAAAGCAAGTGTCCTTGTCTATAAATAAATTCAGTTAGCTATAAAAAGAGTCTTAAAAAAACTATTAGCAATCAATCATGGTAATCTGTAATAGATAGCATTTCCTAAAATGGTATAGCATTTGATCACCAGGCACTGCTCTGAGGGCTTTCCCTGCATTAACTCGTTTAATCCTCAGGACACCTCGTGAAGTAGACACCAGAGGGGAAACAGAAGCACACAAAGTAGTTTGTCCAAGAGTTTGCAGCCAGTAGGTGGCGGAGCATGGACTTGAACACAGAGTGTGTGCCTCTGCCTCCACTCTATTTTAAAGATTTATATATTTATTTATGGTGAGGGGAGGGGCAGAGGAAGAGGGAGAAGAGAAACAAACTCTCTGCTGAGCAAGGAGCCCCATGTGGGCCTCAGTCTCAGAACTCTGAGATCACGACCTGAGCAGAAACCACGAGTCGGGCACTCAACCAACTGCGCCACCCAGGCACTCAAAATGATCTGCTTCTGTTGCCTCTCTGTGGTGCTGGTGGTTGGAACGGATGCAGATGACTCAAGCCTGGGTGTGTTCACCTGGTCCAATCCCCTTCTAGTATAGGGAGGGGAACTGCGGCCCAGGGAGCAGCGATTCCATTTAATGAGCATATATACCCCATGCCAAGTGCTGTGCTAAGTGCTCCCATGGATTAGCTAATTTAATCCTCACAATAAACCTGTGAGATGGGTGCTCTCATCTTCATTTTATAGCTGGGGAAACAGATGCAGAGAGGTGAAGAGATTTATCCAAGGCCATGAACCTGCCACATGGTGGAGCTGGGGCTTACGTTGACACTAAAGCCCAGCCTCGTTGCCTTACTCTGCAGTGCCCACACCTCAGAGAAAAATAAAATGACTTGGCTAAAGTCATGCAGCTCATGGCGAGCTACCCCTACCATTGTGCTTCCCTTACCATTCTGTCTCTCTGCATTTCCAACTAAATATATATATATATATATATATATATATATATATATATAGAGAGAGAGAGAGAGAGAGAGAGAGAGAGAGAGCCAACACCCTTCACTTGGGGGGCAGGTAGCAAGGATATGGATATATATATATATATATATATATATATATATATATATTACTACTTGTGACATTTGCTATTTGGAAGCAACACATGAAGGGCGCCTGGACAGCTCAGTCGGTTAAATGTTTGCCTTCGGCTCAGGTCATGATCTTAGGGTCCTGAGATTGAGCCCTGCATTGGGTTCCCTGCCCAGTGGTGAGCCTGCTTCTCCCTCTCCCTCTGTCTGCTGCTTGTGCTCTCTTTCTCTCTCAAATAAATAAATAAAATCTTAAAACATAAATAAATAAAAGCAACATGTGATTCATTCTTGCCCTGTGGTCCTCAGCCCTGTAGGTAGTAGTCATTATTTCTCCTCCAACCTTCACCTGCCTGTCTCCTTCCAAACTCAAGAGAGCTCTCCTAAGCTCTCACAGAACTCTGGTTCCGGGGGGTTAAGAAACCATCTGGCTCAACCTGTTTCTTTCTTTCTTCCTTTTTTTTAAAAAAAAAAAAAAAAAGGAAATGGGGTAGGGTGGGAGGTGGAGGATGGAGGCAAGGAGACAGAGACAGACATTTTTTTTTTTGAGAGAGAGAATGTGAGCAGGGGGAGGGATACAGGGAGGGAAGAAGAATCTCAAGCAGACTTTCCGCTGAGCATGGAGCCTGAGGCCAATCTCACTGCCCAGAGAGCATGACCTGAGCCAAAATCAAAAGTTGGATGCTTGACCTACTGAGCCACCCAGGTGCCCCCAACCTGCTCCATTCCAGGTGTGGAAACTGAGGCCCGGAGGGAGTGGGGTGGGGAGCGGAGGATGATGTGGGATTGCTTTGCCTTCTAGAACCGGGTGAACATGACCTATGAGAAGATGTCACGTGCCTTGCGCCACTACTATAAGCTGAACATCATTAAGAAAGAACCTGGGCAGAAACTGCTATTCAGGTGAGTAGCCTAGGGGCTGAGGAGGAAAGGGGAAGCAGTGGTTGGGTGGGCTGGAAGCCCCCAGCGGCTGGGGCAGGGGCTGATTTGCAGCTGGGGCCTGAATATTCCAGATTTCTGAAGACACCCAGGAAGGTCAGCCAGGACAAGGGCAGCCACCTGGAACAGCCAGAGAGCCAGGAGCAGGACAGGATGGATTTCAAGGAGGAGATGCTGGAAGTCTCTCCGTGAGGGGCAGGTGGATTCTGGGCACCAAGCAGTGACAGGCCAGAAACTGAGTCTCCCTTGAAGGCAGCTAGCTGCATGGTGGTCTCCGCCTTCCTCCCGGAGCAGCAGGGGTCCCTGACGGGGGTTTTGCACTCATGAGATCCCAGCTATTGTCCCAGACCTCAAAGCTGCCTGCCCACCTGGGAGGTGAGAACTGGGGGGGCCGGGGCGGGGGACGACGACTTACATTCAGGGCATCATGGTGGGCATCATCCTTGGGTAGGGCAGCCCCGGAGCTCAGTGGGGCACCGGGTGTGAACCCTCTCTGCCCTACCCCTTGTTACCTGCCCGGCTTGGGAGAGGTAGCGGGGCACTGAGAGGGCATCCGGCCCAGCTCCATCAACTTACAGAAGAAGGAAGCAGAGGCCCCTCACTGAGCCTTAGTTTATAAAGGGGACATGCTCTTGAAAACCTGCCCTCAGGGGGCTGATGCTGGCCTGCGAGAAAGGAACACTGCTTCATCAGTCTTAGTAATAGCAACAGAAGAATGCTAACTGACATGTAAGCGCTCACTACATGCCAGGCCTTGTGCTACGGTTCCTACCCACATTTTATCTCATTCAATTCACCCTCCAAACCTCCAAGGCTTAAAGATGGGGAAACAGAGGCAGAGGCTTACAGAGCTGGGAAGTCTCTCCAGAAGGCAGCACTGTCACTTGGCTTGTGCGTTTGTTTTAGTGACTCTGCGTGTATGGGGCACTTTACTTAAGCAGAAGCCATGGCCCTGCCTCTCTGCCCTCAGTGTCTCTGTTGAGTGGTTCATCTCACTTGGCCCAACCTTCTTTCCTGAGGTTTCAGTCCTCTGGTGACACTATGACTTTGGCCCAGTGGAGATTGCCACTGCCCCCTAGTATCTGTGGTTTCCTGTGCTCCTGCTCCTGGACCTGCACCTGCCATGTGACCTTGGGCAGGTGGTTTCCCCTCCCTGGAACCTCAGGCTTCTCACCCATAAAATGCAGGTGATATTCTGAGCTGACCTCACAGGATTGCCAGAAATCTCCATACGACAACATTGGTGACAACATTGGTGACTCCACAAATCCCAAACTACTCTGAAGCTTGAAAATGCCTCTGCGCTATGGGTTCAGCTTTTCTTCTATTCTCCCCAACGCCCCTAGGAGCGGCTGGAGGCTTGGGAGGGGGTCAGAACCTCTGCCCTGTGACCTCCTCCAGTAAGGTTTGGGGGAGAAAGGGAAGGGATGTTTTCACTTCACTGAAAACAGAACTTCTTGGATTCACATCTTCTTTCTTGGTAGGAGGAAACCTCTGCCTCTCACCCCCTGGGCAGGTCAGGAAATCCCCAGCCTGAGCTGGCTTTGAGTCACCACACAGAAGCTGAGAAGGATTCCTGGCCTTTGGCACTCAGAGCTTGATCACTCAGGAGCAGGGCTTCTGTCCTGGGTTAGTCCCGTCCCGGGCCTCGACTATTCCACACCAGAAGTGGCCGGGCCACAGCAAGGTGGCCTTGGCAAAAAGGCTCAATATGGAAATCCTTGGCCTCTTTCCTCTTCCTTGAGACGGTTCCATCTCCTCCGCTTTGGACCAGGATGAACCTGTGCTCCAGAGCGTTTCTCAGCATCTCTAACCCAGAACTCCACAATTGGACGGGGAAAGACTGTCGAAACCCCCCTTGTCCAGCCCCTCCTTTTATTGATAAGGCAACTGAGGCCAGAGATGGTGGTGGCAGGGTGGGTAACTTGCTCAAGGACAAACAGCTCAGCCTGACTGACTCCTAACGTTGCCTCATAAGTCACTTCTTCCAGGTACAATGTTGGCATTTGCCTGGCGTTTGTTAATGGTTGTCAACAGCTGTGTGTCCCAGGGAATATGTCTCTACCCAAGGCAATGAATCTCACCCAGTGCTGGGGCCACAGGGGCCTGGCCTAGGACAGACTCTTCCACCCTAGAGCCCAGATCCTTGGCCTCCCCACTCAGCCCCAGGGGAAAGTCCACCTTTTCCCCACCTCCCCATGCATGTTAGGCCCGGGTCTGGGATGTATACTTGGGTGCCAGGAATAAAAAGATCCATTCAGCCCTTCCCTCCACCAACATTAATTGAGCACTTGCTGTGTACCTGGAACTAGGTGAAGCTCTGGGTTTACAACCATTTTTGGCACAGATTCCCGAAAAGTGATGGGTCACTGAAAACATGTCAAAACGGATTTCCTCACAGATAATTTTCAAAAGCAAGAGATACATTCTCATAGTTTGAAAGAAGAGCCAGCCATGTCGGTCTTTTTTTTTTCACAGATAATATTAAAGTCAACAGTAAATAAATAATTTATTTAAAAACTGAGTGTGTAAAGAAGTTCATTAATGAAATAAATGACACAAGTCACTGTCACCATCTTGTCAAGCCACTTACAGCATGAAACCAAAGCATGGGCTCCGTGATTCTCCATCTCTGCTACATGGATTCTTGCCAACAGTCTTTTTCTCTTGCAAGGAAGTTCCACTTCTCCCTGGCTTTCCCCAAGATATGATTGACGTATAACATGGTGTAAACATCTAGCACTTCCTTCAATCCTGGTGGCCCTGCCACCTCTCGGGCTCTTATGGGAAGCCTGGGCTGATGCTGGTGACCTATTGTCTCTCTCCTGGAGGAGCCTAGTAGTGACAACTCTCCTTGGCTTCTTCCTCTGGTCCCTCCTTATGGTGTAAATCCACATTTTCTACTCAAGCGTTCTTTTCCAAAGTTTTATAGAGATGCTCAGAAGACACATCCATTTATAGAGTGAGGTCTTAATACCTCCAAACTATCCAGCTTCTGGCGGCAAATACGAAGGTGATCCTGGCTCAGAAGGAGTCTGTGGAATGCCAGGTCCCTTCCTGTGTGCTGACTTGGCTACCCGGAGGGACTATTGAACTAAGCTGCCCTGGGATGGCTCCAAGATTTGGGCCGGGAGTTTCGAGTATGCTGTTCTGAAAATCAGAATGCACATATTTTAAAAATATTTTAATCATGAACTTAATTTTTTAAAATTCCCAAATCCTTGTAAGTTCATTGCTGATATGGGGGTGGCATAGGAAGGAGGATGTGGCCCTGCCTTTGGGGAAGTTCACACATTAGACCTTGTCACAGTCCACGCCCACTGGAGACAGTGAGGACAAAACACTGGTGAATTCTGCTTGGGAGGTGCCAGAGAGAGTGCCCCTTAGGAGGATCCTATAGGCTTCTGCTCTGTTTTTCCCTTTTTTGGAGAGCCTGGAGGTGTGGTGGGGCTGTGGGCTTCTTGATCACTGTGAGTGGAGGGTAGGTCAGGGGCTGACCACAGAGGCCCGTCCCTGGGCCAGGGCAAAGGGGTCCCCGAGTTACATCCTTGGGTCAGCCTTGTTCACAAGGCGGGAAAATAGGCCAGGACTGGGGCTGAGATTATCACAAGGGGGAGGAGAGAGCCTTTGGGAACAGGCAGGGGCTGTCGTGTCAACCCATAAGGACCTGCAGGATGAAACTCCCAACAGCACCAACTGCACATACCCCACTTCATGGGCCAGCTGATGCTGGGGAAAAACATGATTTAGAGCCAGTTTACACAGGGGGCCTTCAAGTGTTCACTCAGGAGAAAACCCCAGGTCCTGGACCGGGGTTCCCTGCCCCACTTTGCAGGATCCTGATGGGCCTCCGTCACCCAGGACCAGGCTTGGGATGAACTGTTGGTTAAAACCATGCCCTCTTCTCAGAACTGAAGTGAAAATGAAAGGAGAAGTGGTGAGAAGGGCAGCTGGCCAGGGCTCAGCGCTGGGCAGGGAGTTCATATCCCTTAGGGAGTAACTGAGCCCTGAGCTTCACTGCCCAGAGCAGAAGGAAGGCTGGGCTGGGAGCCGGAGCCCATTTCAGTGTTTTAGGGGGGCTGAGCGTAATCCAACACTTACCTCACAGGGGGCTGCATGGACTCACTGATCTTTCAAACGTCTACGCTTTTGCTCAATTAAAGGCATGCCATGTGGTCCCGGTGATGGGCAAGGCCTGTCGTGGCTTCTACTAGCAGTTGTAAAGGGCCTTTGATGATAATGAATGATGTAATCCAATAACAAACATAATGAAAATATGCACTTTGGTACACAGACTCTTTTGGACGTGACATCCACTGGGCAAAAACACTTTTAGAGTTTTTTTTTTTTTTAAAGATTTTATTTATTTATTCATGAGAGACACAGAGAGAGAGGCAGAGACACAGGCAGAGGGAGAAGCAGGCTCCATGCAGGGAGCCTGATGCAGACCCGATCCTGGGACCCCGGGATTACACCCTGAGCCAAAGGCAGGCGCTGAACCACTGATCCACCCAGGCATCCCGAGTTGTTGCTTTTTTATGGGTGGTTTTACGGAGGCTCATGTGGAGCTGAACTGGGAAGTTTTACTTCTGGGCAAAGACAGTCCAGGGTCACTCCCAGATACAGAGGCAAGCAGAATGAAGAAATGAGCCTCCTCCTGCCAGGCGACTTCTCGGTTTGTCCTCCCAGGAATCTGGATTGAGTTTAGGGGATCTGTGTCCCCTCCAATCCCAGGCACATGCCTTAGCAAGCCTTGAGTCCTGTTAATAAATCCTCCCTGTAACAGTGGCCCCTCGGGAGCCTGCTGATGCCTGGATCTACGCTGAGGCCCCGCCGAGCTCTCACACACTAACTCGGGTCCTTGTGAGGCCGTCAGAGGCCTAATCTGTCTTCACTGCCCAGGACTCTGGGGACACTCAGGAGCTGGGCTTCTCCCCCTGGAAAGGCCTGCAGTTCAAAGATAGGTCCACCAGGTGGCGCAAAGCCTCCTTTCCTTGCTGGTGCTGGACCCACTGCCTACACCACCTGTCCTGTGTCTGGGACGGCCTGCCCTCTCCTACCAGGGCGGGAATACAAAACCCCAACTCTGGCATACCCCGTAAGCAGACATCCAGCCTCTGCTTAAACACCTCCGGGGACGGGGAGCTCACCACCTATGGGGGCAGGGTAAGTAGTGGAGGTAGGGGTAGGGGTGAAATTGAGGCCATCCAAAAGCCACCTATTGGGTGATAATGTCACCCTTCCTTGTCCAACACTCAGGCCACTGGTTTCTTTCTTTCTTTTTCTTTCTTTCTTTCTTTCTTTCTTCTTTCTTTCTTTCTTTCTTTCTTTCTTTCTTTCTTTTTTTCTTCTTTCTTAAGATTTTATTTATTTATTCATGAGAGACACGCAGAGAGAGGCAGAGACACAGGCAGAGAGAGAAGCAGACTCCATGCAGGGAGTCCAGTGTGGGACTCCATCCCAGGATCACCACCTGAGCCAAAGGCAGATGCTCAACCGCTAAGCTACCCAGGCGTCCCAGGCCACTGGTTTCTAAAATGCCTAGTACCAGGTTCTTTGTTGGAAATAATTTATATCTCCTTTTCTTTTAAATCACCTTATCCCTGAGTAATTTGTCAAGTTTCTGAACAGCAGCCCCAAAGAGATCTTTCACAGATCTGGGACACAGGCCAGGGGCATGTCGGAAAGCCTCTCTATCTCCTAACCTCCCACCCCCTGGGCCCTGATTAGGAATCAAAGGACTGAGGCTACCTGAGTTCCCTGGTGGCTTTACTGAAGTCAACCTTCTGGGCCTCAGTTTCCCTATCTGTAAAGGGATTAACAGCATCCTTTACCCTGCTTGCCGCATTCAGTTGCTGAGAAATTGCCAATGCAATGATGCATTTGATTATTTAATGAGTATTTCTTTTTTTAAAAAAAATTATTTATTTATTCATGAGAGACAGAGAGAGAGAGGCAGAAACACAGGCAGAGAGAAGCAGGCTCCCTGCAGGGAGCCCAATGCAGGACTTGATCCCAGGACCCCAGGATCACAATCTGAGTGGAAGGCAGACGCTCAACCACTGAGCCACCCAGGTGTCCCTTAACGAGTATTTCTTGAGCACCTACTATAAGGTAGGCACAATTCTAGAAACTAGAGAAGACATAAGTAAACAAGAAAGAGTGCATCTGATATTGAGTGGTGTGGTAAGTGCCAGGAAGGAAGATGCAATGGGGTCAAGTGAGGGGGGAGATCTAAAGTGAGCTATCAGAGGTGACAAGCATGTGAAAGCAGGAATGATTCCCCATAGTGTGTCCATCCTTCTCTTGGCCTGTGATTCACTCCGTGAAAGTGAGACAGGTACTGTTTCTGAGTGTTTTTGAGATAGACACTGTTGTTAGTTCCTGTTATGTGCAATGAGACGCAATCTTCATGGATATGAACAATGCAGACGGAAAGGCTGGGAGGAGAAGACCAAACTGACACAGAGCTAATCCTCTCCAGTCCCCTCTTTTCCCCATGGGGGAACCACAAACTAAGGCCAATGAGATAATAAATTCTTCTGAACAGGCTTGAACTCTCCAGGCCATGCCCATTTCCACAACTCAAGAAAGCGCTGTGCATTGTTGGAAGCACTCTGACTAGAAAGCCCAGACTTCTAAATATGACCCTTGAAATCCCAGCAATTCTTATCAGGAAGGGATTTCCCTTCAGTCATGCACTCCAGCTAGTGACATGCTCAGGTTTTCAACCTGTGATCTGGGATGGAGGGTGCATATCAGATTATCAGGGAGCAGATGCCTGGGGGTGGCTAGACCTGGTGAGTAAATCTCCAGAGAGATTTTTTTTAAGATTTTTTTTATTTATTTATTCATGAGAGACACAGAGAAGCACAGAGAGAGAGGCAGAGACACAGGCAGAGGGAGAAGCAGGCTCCATGCAGGGAGCCTGATATGGGACTCAATCCCGGGTCTCCAGAATCACGCCCCAGGCTGACAGCAGCGCCAAACTGCTGAGCCACCTGGGGTGCCCCCCAGAGAGATTCTGAAGCATCTGACAAAGCACTTTTCTTCTTGCCATCTTGTATGAGGATCACAATCTGGTCCTGTTTTAGGGATGGGACAATGGAAGATCAGAGATGTCAAGGGGAGCCCAATGGTCTGGGATCCTGGCTTTCATCCAGGCTCCTTTCCAAGCTTTGGAACAGATCATCCCAACTCCAGCCTCTTACAAACTCTAATGTGATTTGCAATAAAGAATGTTATGTTTTCCCGGCTGAAGGGTGAATAATTTAACAACTTGGGTCTCAATCAGCCACAAAAAGAAAAAAAGGACCTTTGACAAGCAGAAGATCTGAACTGGAGCCAACAGCAGAAGGTCCCCAGAGAAATAGCAGAAACAAAGACTTAGTGGGTCAACCTCATCTGTATTTTCAGCCAGATGAAGTGCCTTTCTGATAATGCAAGTTCACTCATTTGACTATGG